GCTTCTAGACACCATCAATAGCTATAGCAAGGTAGCAGGATATAAAATCAACATAGAAAAATCATTAGCATTTCTATACACCAACAATGAGCGAACTGAAAAAGAATGTATGAAAACAATTCCATTTACAATAGCCTCAAAAAAAATCAAATACCTAGGTGTAAACCTAACAAAAGATGTGAAAGACCTCTACAAGGAAAACTATACACTTCTGAAGAAAGAGATTGAGGAAGACTATAGAAAGTGGAGAGATCTCCCATGCTCATGGATTGGTAGAATCAACATAGTAAAAATGTCGATACTCCCAAAGTAATCTACATGTTTTAATGCAATCCCATCAAAATTCCAATGACATTCATTAAAGAGATTGAAAAATCTACTTAAATTTATATGGAAACACAAGAGGCCACGAATAGCCAAGGCAATACTCAGTCAAAAGAACAATGCAGGAGGTATCACAATACCTGACTTCAAACTATATTACAAAGCAATAACAATAAAAACAGCATGGTACTGGCACAAAAACAGACATGAAGACCAGTGGAACAGAATAGAGGACCCAGATATGAAGCCACACAACTATAACCAACTTGTCTTTGACAAAGGCTAAAAATATACGATGGAGAAAAGCAGCCTCTTCAACAAAAACTGCTGGGAAAACTGGTTAGCAGTCTGCAAAAAACTGAAACTAGATCCATGTATATCACCCTATACCAATATTAACTCAAAATGGATCAAGGATCTTAATATCAGACCCCAAACTCTAAAGTTGATACAGAAAGAGTAGGAAATACTCTGGAGTTAGTAGGTATAGGTAAGAACTTTCTCAATGAACCCAGCAGCACAGCAACTAAGAGATAGCATAGATAAATGGGACTCATAAAACTAAAAAGCTTCTGCTCATCAAAAGAAATGGTCTCTAAACTGAAGAGAACACCCACAGAGTGGGAGAAAATATTTGCCAGCTACATCAGACAAAGGACTGATAACCAGAATATATAGGGAACTTAAAAAACTAAATTCTCCCAAAACTAATGAACCAATAAAGAAATGGGCAAGTGAACTAAACAGAACTTTCTCAAAAGAAGAAATTCAAATGGCCAAAAACACATGAAAAAATGCTCACCATCTCTAGCAATAAAGGAAATGCAAATTAAAACCACACTAAGATTCCACCTCACCCCTGTTAGAATAGCCATCATCAGCAACACCACCAACAACAGGTGTTGGCGAGGATGCGGGGAAAAAGGAACCCCTTACACTGTTGGTGGGAATGTAAACTAGTACAACCACTCTGGAAAAAAATTTGGAGGCTACTTAAAAAGCTGACATTGATCTACCATTTGATCCAGCAATACCACTCTTGGGATATACCCAAAAGACTGTGACACAGGTTACTCCAGAGGCACCTGCACACCCATGTTTATTGCGGCACTATTCACAATAGCCAAGTTATGGAAACAGCCAAGATGCCCCACACTGACGAATGGATTAAGAAAATGTGGTATCTATACACAATGGAATTTTATGCAGCCATGAAGAAGAACGAAATGTTATCATTCGCTCTTAAATGGATGGAATTGGAGAACATCATTCTGAGTGAGGTTAGCCTGGCCCAAAAGACCAAAAATTGTATGTTCTCCCTCATATGTGGACATTAGATCAAGGGCAAACACAACAATGGGATTGGACTTTGAGCACATGATAAAAGCGAGAGCATACAAGGGAGGGGTGAGGATAGGTAAGACACCTAAAAAATTAGCTAGCATTGGTTGCCCTTAACGCAGAGAAACTAAAGCAGATACCTTAAAAGCAACTGAGGCCAATAGGAGAAGGGGACCAGGAACTAGAGAAAAGGTTAGTTCAAGAAGAATTAACCTAGAAGGTAACACACATGCACAGGAAATTAATGTGAGTCAACTCCCTGTATAGCTATCCTTATCTCAATAGTAAAAACCCTTGTTCCTTCCTATTATGGCTTATACTCTCTCTACACAAGAAAATTAGAAATAAGGGCAAAATAGTTTCTGCCGGGTATTGAGGGGATGGGGAGGGGAGGGAGGGGACAGAGTGGGTGGTAAGGGAGGGGGTGGGAGCAGGGGGGAGAAATGACCCAAGCCTTGTATGCACATATAATAAAAGAAAATAAATAAATAAATAAATTCTAACACCTTTATAAGTAAACATTTTCTTTTATAAATGTTTTTGTCTAAGTCTTAGATTTTAATTAATTAATTTTTTGGTGGTACTGGGATTTAAACTCAGGGCCTCATGCTCACTAGGCAGGTGCTCTACCACTTGAACCATTCCACCAATCCTTTTTTGTGTATTTAGTATTTTCAAGATAGGGTCTCTAGAACTATTTGCCTGGATTGGTTTTTTTTTTTTTTTTTTTTTTTTTTTTAACTCATATGTGCATACAATGTTTGGGTCATTTCTTCCCCCTTACCCCCATCCCCTCCCTTACCACCCCCTGCCCTGCTCCCTCCCTTACCCCTCCTTACCCCTCGTTACCAGGGTAGAAACTATTTTTGTCCTTCTCTCTAATTTGTTTGAAGAGAGTATAAGCAATAATAGGAAGGAACAAGGGTTTTTGCTAGTTGAGATAAGGATAGCTATACAGGGAATTGACTCGCATTGATTTCTTGTGCATGTGTGTTACCTTCTAGGTTAATTCTTCTTGAACTAACCTTTTCTCTAGTTCCTGGTCCCCTTCTCCTATTGGCCTCAATTGCTTTAAAGTATCTGCTTTAGTTTCTCTGTGTTGAGGGCAAAAAATGCTATCTAGTTTTTTAGGTGTGTTACCTGTCCTCATACCTCCCTTGTGTGCTCTCGCTTCATCATGTGATCAAAGTCCAATCCCCTTGTTGTGTTTCCCCTTGATGTAATGTCCACATATGAGGGAGAAAATACGATTTTTGGTCTTTTGGGCCTGGGTTAGTTTTGAACTGCAATCCTCCTGAGCTCTACCTCCCCCACATCTAAGATTACAGGTATGAGCCACTGGCGCCCGGCAGATTTTAAAAGTTGCTCCTTAGAATATGGTTTTATACCTTCCTTAAATATTTTTGAGAACTAAATAGGGCATGAGAAGTGCATCAAATAATACATTTTCTGCTAGAAAACACAGTTTACCTTAAGACCCCACATTGCTAAAAGGAATCATCTGTGTTAATTCACCATCACAGATGAGGTAACTGAGACCAAGGGACATGGACCACTCAAAAGATACATGGCCAGAAGTGGCACACTGAGGAATGTGGTTTTAGTCCTCTGATCCTACTAGTTCATTTTGATGTCATTCTCTTTGTTAGAAGTATTAAGAATCAGGTAATGCCGAATGCCTGTAATCCTAGTTACTCAGGAGGGAGAGATCAGGAGGATTGCAGTTCAAAGCCAACCCAGGCAGATAGTTCATGAGACCCTATTTCAAAAACACCCATTACAAAAAAGGGGAGGCAGAGTGGCTCAAGGGGAAGGCCCTGAGTTCAAGCCCCAGTACCGTGAAAAAAAAAGAAAAAAAAAAAGAATCAGGTAAACATGACAGTAGTGAAGAAATTCGTAGGCACAACAAATAATTTCTGCTGTACTTCTTGTTTTGTTGTTGATGTTTGGCTTTTTCGTTGGTGGTGGTACTGGGCCTTCCACATGAACCATGTCTCCAGTCCTATAATGCTTATGTGTAGTTCCATTTGTGAGAAACACTAGGTGAATGCAAAAAACTACACCTAGCAGAACAGAGCTGCTTAGAAATATACATAACATATACAGTTGGCCCTGTATAGCTATCCTTATCTTAACTAGCAAAAACCCTTGTTCCTTCCTATTATAGCTTACACTCTCTCTTCAACAAAATTAGAGATAAGGGCAAAATAGTTTCTGCCAGGTATTGAGGGGGTGGGGGGAAGAGGGAGAGGGCGGAGTAGGTGGTAAGGGAGGGGGTGGGGGCAGGGGGGAGAAATGACCCAAGCGTTGTATGCACATATGAATAATAAAACAATTTAAAAAATTAAAAAAAAACATATACAGTTGGAACAACTACCAGCTACATCAGTTTATCACGTGCTATGAGCTGTAGCTATTTGCATCTGGTATTATGTCTTCTATCCAAAGTCTGACTTCAGATAACCCTCCTTCTTCTAACATAGCATGAGTTTCAATTACAAACCTCCACTTCCACAGGTCTTTTACCAATGTCAAATGTCTTGTTTATTATATTTCTTAATCATTTAACATATGCTAGACGGCACCCCAATTTTACTAGGTTTTTATGTTTAAGAGGAGAGACAAACAATGGCCCCCAAAATTAAAATATAATTTATTAATTGAGGGAGACAATGTGATTTAGTTGAAAAACACTAGAACTATCAGAAGATAGTTTTTATCTACACTTAGCTATTAACAGAGTGGCTGTGGAAAAATTTCTCTCTCTGGTGGCAAAAAGTGAACCAGATTATATTCATTAATTCTTTCACTAGGTATTTATGCTAGGTGTAGGGGACACAAAGATGCATAAAATAGACATAGTCCTTACCTTTCATGCTAACAGTCTAGTGTGGGAAGAGGAACATTAATTAAATCATTTTAATCACACATAATACAACTATAAGAGTTTTCAAAGAGAAAAGCTGGTTGCTCTAATGAAAGAATCTAATGGAGAGATTTGATCTAGAGAAGGTTAATAACAGTGAAAGAGAAATTACAAGTAGAGTAAATGCTGTGCAAAAGGGACTCAAGGATGACAGTGTAGTGAATACACAGAGAGTGAGGGAAAATGTGGATGAGCTGGAGCTGAGACTATGCAATGCCCTACAGACTTTGTTAAAAGTATCGATTCTCATCCCAAGAGCTACAAAAATCCAAAAAAGTATGTTTAAGCAGAAGAGGATGACATAAGCAGATTTATGCTTCAAAAAGATTACACTGCTGCAAAATTCTATGACTATAAGGATGGAAATGTTGTCTAATTGTAAAAACATTTTATACTCTTTATTTTATACCTGTAGCTTATACATTTCCGTGTTCTTGTTGACCTCCTTTCAAGCAAGTTTGCTTTGGATTTTTTGGAATCTTTTTTCTTTTCTTCTTGATCTTCAGAAAAATCTGGCTCCTTTAACAATATAATAAAGTATATAAGGTATGCAAAGTTCCTTGGAACTAACAAGATTAGAGTTTTCTAATTTCTACCTAGGCAGCACATGTGAAAGGTTTGAACAAGTGAGATTATCCCCCCAAATGAATATACAGCAATACTAATGATACAGATTAAAACACAATACTGGTGATCAAAGGATGAAATGCTTCTCCATCGAATTCTTATACTTGTCTGTTTAAAACAATGGTATGAAGCTTTCCCACTGATATAACCTCTTAATAAATAATTAAATGTAACACATAGAAGATACTCAATAGATACATATCCTGAATGAATGAAGTAACTAATCTAAAAGGAAAGGGTATGATGTTGAAGAAAAATAACTTGACAGGCTATTTAAGTCTGTGACTTAAGTAAGCCTGAAGAAACTGCTCATGAGAAATGAGAAACTATGTTTCATATACTTTCACTCATGAGATACCCTTCTTGATTATACACTAATAAATGTCGAACAATGGTAATTCTTCAAAGAAACCAAACTGTGAGTCAGAATACAAATTAAAGTTTCCAATAACCGCAAAAGCAGAAAACTAAAAACTTCCCATTCTCTTCTCTAGTCAGTTTACATAAATAGCACATGAAAAAGCTAAACAAAAATTACCCAGTTTAGGATTAAAAAAATGGAACATTACTCCAAAATGATGATCTGTAAGTTTAGTTTGGATGTGATAATTGCATTTTCAGGTTATCTGCATACATATAATTTCAGTCATGATGGGTTATAGATGATTTCTCTAAGGTCTTAATTTTTATTTTTAATGAAACAGGTATATTACATAATTAAAACTGGTTACATTACATAACATGGGTTAAATTTTAGAAAATCTATGGCGGGATCCCCTTTAAAATATAAACCAAAAACTTACTTGTGGAGGAATGATGTTTTCAATACTGATACCAACATATACCAAGCGTTCTTTCCTGTAAGTAAAAAAAAAACAAAAAACACATACACACCAAATAAGATTTGCTAAAAATAAAACTGTCATAAAAAAAAAACTACTAATGCAGCAGGGCGCCAGCGGCTCATGCCTGTAATCCTAGCTACTCAGAAGGCAGAGATCAGGAGGATTGTGGTTCAAAGCTAACCCCAGGGTAATAGTTCATGAAACCCTATCTCAAAAATACCCTTCACAAAAAAAAAAAAGAAAGGCTAGTGGAGTGGTTCAAGGCCCTGAATTCAAGCCCCAGTACCACAAAAAAAAAAGTTACTAAGATAGACAATAATAAAATTACAATTTCCTAGTATACGGAGGCAGTCACAGACATGTTAAGCATCATTCTTAAAACTATTGAGAATTAGTATCTGTGAAAAGCACAAAATTTCCTCAAGATATGAAAACTACACTTTTAGAATTGACTTATACCTATAACTGAAATACACAATGAAACTTCATGAGGAGTTATGCTATGATTTGACATGATTACATAGAAAGCCTCTGATATGATAGGACAAAGTAGATCTCTGACATGTTAGCTCTTAGTAATATTGTGAATATACACAATTCTAACTCTATTGTGCTAGGGGTATGTCTCAAATGGGAGAGTGCTTGCCTATTAAGTGTATGGCCCTGAGTTCAAAGTCTAGTATTATATAATTAAATTGTATCAAGGTCCCAGTGAATGACACTAAGACCACTGATGCTTTGGTCTAGAGAAGAAAAAAGCAAGGCAGATATATGGCACTACATTAGACACTGCCACAATAACGATATGATTAAAGCCAGAAAATAAGGATATGGACCAGTAATAACACCTTCCTGGTTTTATTTCCAAGAAAAAAACTTCTGCTGCTATTAATTAAAAAATCTTACATAATAAATAGCTATATACAATAGATGCTTTCTCTGGTTCTACCAAAGTGAATCCAATTCAATAAGCGCAGCTGAGCTCTGACATGCCAGAGTATGTAAGACTGAACTAAAACAGTAACCACTCTTCCTCCATCACTTGCAATGTCCTTCTGGAGGAAAATTAATGCATCCACTTGTCCAAGTCCTTTATAGTGCAGCCTTTATTGCCCTGTAAACCCCTGACTCTGTTAACAAGAATCTCAGAATAGATCAGAATAGTTATGAAGCCATTAAATAAACACTGCCATGTACGAAAATGATAAAAATGATTTTAATCAAATCCCGATAAAAACAAAAGTAATAACTAGGAAAGGCAGGAACTAACTAGAATAGGGAATACTTCATGGTTTGAGCTTTTTATTATTACAAATGTGTGACACACTTGTCCTTTCAATAACCACATTAATACCTCAAAACCTGTACTTTCATTTGGCTACTATTTGTTTACGTGAAAAAACATTTATTCACATTCACTGTATTAGATGAGTACTGTGTCAGGCTTGGTAATCCACAGGTAAGACTGTTTCTGCACTTGCAATTATTTAACAACTGATTACAGACCATTATGAGCAAATATAATGGAAATACAAAAATTTTAAGATTAATTTTGGTATGAAGAGCTGAGATATTTGGGAAGGCTTTAACAGGTTGGTAACATTTGTGTAGGATCTTCAGGGTAGGTATAACTTCTTGTAACATAGCTATCTTGTTCAGTAATCTTACAGAAAAATACACCTTTCAGTCTTACTACTTAGCTTCTGGCCCTGACCTTACCATTACCAATGACCCAATTCTTCATAAAGTTTCAATTTTAGGTCCCCCTATTCTCTGAATTCCACTTGCTCAATTTCCAACCATTTTATATACTGATTCTAGCAATTCTTTGACAGAAGAAGAACTTCTACTCATTGATCCTACCCTCTTTGAAACACTGTCCATCCCTTGCCTGGGTTCAACTACATGGTCAACACTATAAACACTCCTGTGCATACACTTTCAAACTCTTTGTCCCTTTCTTTCCTTCATATTATACCAGGAAAATTCCAACCCTGATTAAATTCAATTCCCTGCTAGCAAAGCACTAGTAATAGCACTCTGGAAGTACAGAGCTGTCTGAATTCCCAAATGATCACTGGGAAGTATTTATGAATCACTGAGTGAACTCCATACAGCCTCACAGTTCTGTAAGCTCTGTTCTCTGTAGACAGTTGCTGACTAGTCACTAAATACTCCTGGACACAAGCCTCTTTTCCACAAGACTAGTGCCCTTGAAGGTAGAGACTGCATAATATGCTTCCTTATATTGAATACACTGTCTGGCATAAATAAATACCCAGGAAATGTTGGTTCAGTGTTGAATAAATGCAAAAATGGAAACAAGGGAAAAGATGCTCTTATATTGTGAACATATGGAGTAAGGTTTTAAGCTGCTAGGATGGGTATTAGAGAAGTTACTTCAAAAATGGATGAAGCCACCTGCATTTACAGTCAATACATTTTTACTTAATAATTGATTGACTGACTGGCAGTAAAGAAATTTGAACTCAGGATCTCACACCTGCTAGACAGGCACTCTACCACTTTAAGCCATACCACCAGCCTTTTTTTGCTTAGTTATTTTTTGGATAGGGTTTCATGTTTTTGCACTGGACAGGTCTAAGACCGTGTTCCTCTTACCTATGCCTCCATGTAGCTGGGACCATAGGTGCAAGCCACCATACCCAGCTTATTGACTAAGATGGGGTCTCACTAACTTTGTGCCCAGACTGGCCTTGAACCTTGATACCGTTTATATCTGCTTCCCTAGAAGGTGGAATTATAGGTATGTGCCTTTATACCTGGGTAAATATTTATTTTAGAAACATACATATTTACCTGCTTGGAGTGCCTAAGGTTTGTATATATAAATACATACGGCTGTATTCTTGGAGTTACGAACCTTGTTAACCAGATTACTGGGGGGAAAAAAAATCAGCCAATTTCACCTGGGACTAAGTGTGTGATCTAAAGCCAGTATTATAGATATCCTCTTCAAAAGGATGACACTGAAGTAAACAGACTCTCTACTATAACACTCCAACTAATTGCTCTTCTGGAAAGTAAAGGAACTGGCCAACAGGAGACCAGTAATGTAAGCAAATGTGACTTATTTTAACATAAATTTCTAAAATTTAAACGATTTTGTACTTGCAGCAGCAGGTCCTATAGTATACATGGCCACTGTAAAAAAAATCATCACTAGCTTTTTGCACATATAAATGGCATATGCATTATAGGCTTTCAAAAAATAAGCAGATATAATCTGAATATTAGACAGAATTCTTAGTGGTTTACACCCTTGGCTTTTAGAAAGAATACATTCTCTTCTAAGTTCTTAATGTGTGAGTGTCAGGACATGGGAAAAACCATTCATTTCTCAAGATGGCAGGTTCCAGAAAGACTGAGACAAAGAAAAACCTAGTTATGATTTTTTATTTAATCTGAAGTATCTTTAGTTAGATCTTTTCCACCATTAAAAATAAAGATGGAAAAATACTACATTAGCAAAATAGTTCTAATAAATTTATACAGGATCCTTCTTTATATTTGGAAATGCCTTTGAAAAATACTGCAAATATTTAAAACGTTGTTTATAGAAACAATGCAGGGGATCTAAATTCAAAGACATTTAGACAACTGATTATTTATTTATTGTGGTACTGAGGAATGAACACAGAGCCTCTTGCATGCAAGGCAAGTGTTTTACCACTTGAGTTACTTCTCTAGCCCTTTTAGTTTTTTCCTGCTTTTGTTTTTGAGTTAGGGCCTTGCTACCTGTGCCTCAGCTGGCCTTGAACACACAATCTTGCTGCCTCTACCTCCTAAGTAGCTAGGATTATAGATGTGCCCAATCACACCAGATCTGATTTTTTTTTTTTTGTCCTATTGATAAAGGGATTTGCTATGTTGGCCAGGTTGGCCTTGAACCCATAATCCTCCTGCCTCAGCTTCCTGAGTAGCTTCAATTACATGCCACAGTACCTGACTTAGACACTGACTTTCAAGAACTAAGTACTTTGGGGGGCGGAGGGCAAACAATGCATACACATGTGAGTAAATGTAAAAATGATAAAAAAAAAAACAAAAACTAAGTACTTTTATCAATTTCTCACTTAATGTTAGAGATTAACTTATTAACTTTTGTTTTTTTTGCAGTACGTAGACCTTGTGTATCTTAGGCAAGTTTTCTATCATTAAGACAGATCACCAGCCTTCACTTATCTTTAAACTAAGTAGCATAACTTATGAGACAGCTCCAGTAAATAGTAAAAAAACACACCAAACCAAACCTAGGTTCTGGAAACTGAACTTATAACAATTAAGATTCATCTTTGCACAGGGTAAAACACAAAGCAGCTTACAAAATTAGTTGACTGCCTTAAGACAAACTAAATATGGGGGGAAGGAACATAAGTGAAAGGATAAAACTTCAGAAGTACCAAATGAAGTAGTAAGGCTTATAAAGAGGTACTGCTTAGATTTCTGAAACTAGTGTGCAAATGGGCATTAAGTCCTATAGATTAATCCTCTGAAAATCCTTTTATTTTTTTTGCTTGCTTTTTGTTGGGACTGGGACTTTCTCTCAGGCCTTTGTGCTTACAGAGCAGGCACTCTATTACTTTAACCACATCTCCAGTCCTGTAAACACTTCTAACACATCTACCTTACAATTACAATGACTGCACAGTTTAGACCTTACAGGCTCTCATGAACTCTCACTAAAACACCCCAACTTTGATTCCTTCTTTTGACTGTCACCAGGACATATTTTTTGAAATAATGATCAGATCCCTCCTTTGATAGCTCCCTCACAGTCTACAGAGAATAATTCAAAATCTGTAGCCAGCTATGCAATGCTGTTTGCAATTTGGACTTGCTCTGCTTTTACAAAGTTCTATCCATTGCCATTCTCCTATACAACTTCCACACTTTGCATTTGCACGTGTTTTGTGCTCACTGACTAGAATGCCCCATCTCTCCATGTTCACCTGTATAATCCTAATTTATCTTCCAAGGTCTTTCCTGATA